AGTGCAGCGCCCGTCGCCCGCCGCCCGGGACCCCGGCGTCCGGCTCCCCCGGGCCAGGACCCTGCGTCGTGGACCCGCGATGGCCAAGCGCAGCTCGCTGTCCATCCGCATCGTAGAGGGGAAGAACCTGCCCGCCAAGGACATGTGAGCGTGGTCGGGGGTGGGAGCCCCAACTTACCGGGAAGGGGCGCTGCCCCCCTTACGCCTGACCTTTCTCGGTCTGCACGGCCCGCGCACTGAAGAGCAGCGGCGAGGGTGTGGGAGTGTCGCCGCGGTGGGGGACTGGCAGGGAAAACGAGGACAGTGAGATTTGCGGCGAGCACCGGACAAGGGGTGACAACAGGGGGAGAATGTCAGTGAGGGCCGGGGACGGGGGAGGGGGCGGGGGTCTGTAAGGAGGTTTAGTGATCGGAGAGGGAGGAAACCGCGGCTTGTGAGGGGAAGGGGCTTTGGTAAGGCAGGAGCTGCACCGGGGAGACATCGCAGGGAAGAGGTCTCGGAGAACTGCCCAGGCTGTGGCTGCAGGGGTCCGGCTTGTGAGGGGAAGGGGCTTTGGTAAGGCAGGAGCTGGACCGGGGAGACATCGCAGGGAAGAGGTCTCGGAGAACTGCCCAGGCTGTGGCTGCAGGGGTCGGTGCCCCCCTAGAAAGGACGAGTCTTCCTTGGTAGTTTCGGAGCCCTTAGTACTGCGGAGTGTGCACCTGAAACAAGAGCTGGGGCCCAGGGTCTGTCCCGGGGCTCCCTGCTGTGTGCTTGGGCGGGGAGGGACTGGCGTGAAGTCAGGACGCCCGGACCGATGTTAGATGGGGGCCGGGAGCCGGGTGGTAACTTGCTCGTGCCCTCGGCCTTGCTCGAGCCGTCCCTTTAATCCTCACAGCTACTCAGCAAGGCAGTTCTCATCATTTCATTTCTACAGATGAGGAAACCGGGGCTCTGAGACGCAAAATGCTGGCTCCAAGCGGTAGAGCAAGGCTTAGGTCTAGGGCTCCTAAGGTTTCAGGGGCCCCTTGTCCCACACTTCTCACTAGGTCCCAGGGCTGAGCTGCCTGACCCCTGGGCCCCCATCTTGGCTCTGTCACCAGCTTCCTCATATGTAGCCTCAGGCAGCTCCCTGCTCCAAAGCCGGTTTCCCCTTCTGTAAACTAGGGGTCAAATCCTTCTAGAGGGACAGGTGGAAAGCACAAAGCTTGGGGGCGGGGGTGGGAAGGGGAGCCTGGAGGAGGCATAGGGTTCAAAGTCTGCTGGGCTGGAGCCTCCCCGCCCCTGTTGCTCCTTAGCGGCCTCCCAGAAGCAGAGAAGTGGAGGATGGGGGGAAATGGGGGAAGGGGGATGGAGGGCAGGAGCGATGGGGGGCCAGGAGAGGGCATCTTTCTCACGCGCCCAGTGTCCCCTACGAGCAGGCATGCTTAGCATCATAAGCAGTTCCAGTTCGAGGCCCCCTGGGCCTGACAAGGCAGAGCTCAGCAGTTGCCATGGCAATGGGTGAGGGAGGGGAGTGGGCCATCTCAAGGTGGGTTTCTGTGCATGGAAGGTGGGGGTGGGGCCGGAGCTGGGAATGAGGTCTCTGGGGTAGGAAGGCAGATGAGCTCTGAGAGGGTCTCACCCCCGGAACTGGCCTCTAAGCACCCCCGCACTGGTAACTAGGTCATCTTGGCCTCTGGTTGGTGGCGGCTGGGAGGAGCAGTCCCCTCCGTCTGTCGCCTCTCTCCGCATATCCGCAGCAGCTGGCTCTAGTGCCTGGCTCCAGGCTCTCACCAGCCCAGGGCCGTGAAGCTCTTGGTTTGTGCCCACCTGGGGGCCCAGGTGCCCAGTTCCCTGGCCAGCCGTGCCTCCATCCCCGGGGGAGGGCTACCAAGTGCTGTTGGTGTGCTTCTGGGATCTCCTTCCTCACCCTGCCCCGCCCCTCACCCTGCCTGCCCTACTCACCTCTCCTTCCCACCGCTCCCTACCTCTCCCCTGCCTTCCCCTTGGTGGTTAGTGTAACAGCTCTGACCTGTCAGGCATCTCTTGAACCCAGCTCTCAACCCACCCTATAAGCTCAGCCCCACACTTGGGCACTGTCCTTCACAGCCCTGCCTTGCACATCAGGGGCCCTCTGCGTTTGAGCATTCCCCTTCAGAGTCCTCCAGAAAACCCCTGTTCATACTTCAGGACCCCTCTCAACTCCTCCTGAGGGCTTTCCCTGATGCCCTCGGGTAGGTTCTCAGCTCCTGTTCTAGCCCAGGTCAGCTGGAAGAAGCCCTTGATGTAGCGGTTGCTCCTGCAGGGGCTGCTTGTCCCGCCTGACTATGAGGGCAGGGACTATGACTTGATGTTCCTGGTGTCCTGAGGGACCCAGCCCATAGTAGAGGTGTTGAGGACCTTCCCACTTAATCCTCCTATTGGCTCTAAAGGTAGATATACTCAGTTTGCAGATGGGGAAACTGAGGCTCGGGACATGGAAGTCATTTGCTAAGATCACACAGCAGATAGATAGAGAAGTCAGGACTCAAACCTACTCTGCTGCTGACAGGCCAGGAATCCTAGCCCAACCAAGGTTGCAGGCTTGCTGTGGGGCTCAGGGGGACTGAGCCTCCCAAATCCCATGTAAAACACACAGGGATGGACAGCAGGGTTTGGAGATCACAGGAGGCCCCCACTGAGTACCACTGGCAGGGGTGGTGGCGAGCCCATCTCACTGTGCCTCACCAGCTCCAAGCCTGGGTCCCAAGCAGCATCCCCTCCAGCCGGGGCTCCTACACTTCTTAGCACGGGGAGTTCACCACCTCTCATAGTGGTCCACCATGACTGAGACAGGTCTGAGGAGGGAGCCGTCCTCACATAGCTGCCACCTGCCTCCCTGCCACTTCCATGCCTGGGTTTTTACTTCTCTGAAGGGCACACAGCACAGCTGCACTCCCACCACCAGCTTTCAGGGCCTGCCCGCCCCTGCCACGCTCCTTCCACTGTCTTCCATCCCTTGGTACCTGGGTCAGTTAGGAAAGGAGCGGAGATCACAGTGACCAGTAACCCACTGGCTCCCATGCCTAGTGGCCCTGGGGAGAGGCCCAGGACTATTCTGGGGTTTTCCTGATCCTCCCCCTCCCACAGCCTAGAAACTGCCAAGGCCCTAAATATAGAGGCCCCACAAATGACCAGATTGGGTCAATGGTGACTGGCTTAGGGAACAAGTGGGAGAGGGGACCGGCCAGGGTCCTCCCTTGGGGGGAGGTCACTGGGCAGGACACAGGTCAAAACAGCTCAGCAGGGATCATTGTTGGGCCCAGGTCCTTAAACTTGGCTTTGGCCCACTCTTGACACTGTCTCCTCCGCACCTCTTTGATCCAGCCACCCAGCCCATAGCTGTCCTTGTGCACTTGGGTTTTGGTTCTGCCTCCAGGCTTTTGTCCACTCCAGTCATCCTGCCCGTGACGGGAGCCCCAAACCTCATCCTCATTCATAGATTCATTCATTGAGTTAGAGCTGAGCAGCGAGCAGTGCTGGGCTCACTAGGGTGAACAGCAGGTTCCCTGCCCTGAGGGGCCCTGAGGCCAGGAGGCCCCAGCAGGGCAGAGGGGGCCCTGCGGTGGGGGACAGCCCCAAGAGGTCCCCTGATGTTCAGCTAGCACTGACCTCTCCCTGCGTCCTCTGAACTCCTTGTACAGATACACGTGTGGCTCCTGGGTCCTGCGGCCCAGTCCAGCACCTGGGCGCACAGGGGCCTGATTGCTAAGAAGCCTGGAGTCCCCTGGCTTGGGTTGGTGGGATGCAAGCTGGGTGTTCACAGGGGCTCCCTGGAGGAGAAGGCTGTTGAACGATGGCGGGGGGAGGGTGCAGGCAGAAGAACAGAGTCTCAGGCAGAGCTAACATGTACTGAGCCCTTGCAAGGGGCTGGCCCTTTCATATCATCCCAGGGACCCAGCACGGCTACCCTGTGAGCTGGGATTACAATCCCCACTTTACAGGTGGGAAAACTGAGTCTTGGCAGACATTTCCTGTCTGTGTCAGGAGAGCTTTGGGAGATGTTCACCCCACGTGGCTTCCTTGCCGGAAGAGCCCTTTTGAGAAGGGAAGCAGAGCTTGGAATTCCCCAGTCTCCAACATGTAAACAAACTTCCTTTCTGTGGACGCCTGGCCGGAGGGGCAATTCCAGGAACAGTCCTCATTCTCCCCTGCCTTTTTGCCTAGTACCAGCCCTAGGCCTGGCTGGAATCCCCTTTCAACCCCAGGAATCCCCCACCAAGCTGAGACAGGTGGAACTGAGCGGTTCGGATTTGCCTCCGCCAGTCCTCCCCAGATGGCTGGGAGCGCCTGAGAGCAGACTGTGGCCTGTGTTCGTTCGTTCATTCATCCATTTGTTCATCCACTCCTTCAGTACACAGTTACAGGAGGACCCCTGTCTTGTGCCACGCCCTGTCCTGGGGACACAGAGTGGCACCCATCCTCAGGTAGCTTGTAGTCAAGTCAGGGGTCAGGTGATGACAGTGCATCACTATGAGTACTGAATACTGGGACAGAGGGAAACATGCAGAGGGGCAGGTGGCGGCGAGGTCCCCTGTAGACCTTACTCCCTGTCTCGGGGGCAGGGAGGTTCCTTAGAGGAGGGGGTTGGGGACAGCAGGAGCGAAGGCTCAGAGGGGAGAGTAAGGGGCTAGACTTAGGTGTTGAGGGCCAGGGTGCTGGCTGCTTGCCTGGGGCTGTTGCTTGGATGCTGTTTTGGGGCGAGGCAGGGGTGGGATGGGAGAGGGCAGGGAGGAGGAGCAGTGAGCAGTGCCCCTGCCCCCACCCTGCACATGGAAGGAGAGCCTTGGTGGGGGTCCCTGCCTTCTTCTCACCAGGCCCCCAGGCTGAGGGTGGAGCACATGTTTTGGCCCAGGACATGGTGCCTCAGCCTTCACTCTCTTTTCTGGGGTCACTGAGGGCCCCTGGCAGGGGGCAGGAAGCTGCTCCAGAGACCCCTCAGCTGGCCTTCCCACCAGCCCCTCACCTGTCTGTCCTGCAGCACTGGCAGCAGCGACCCCTACTGCATCATGAAGGTGGACAATGAGCCCATCATCAGGTACTGCCCACCCCCAGGACTGAGGGAGGGCTGAGCCCCCTCACAGAGCCCCCCCTCTCCTCCCAAAAGATGTGAATTTTGTAGGGAGGGCTCAGAGCACCTAAGCCCCTGGGGCCCCCACTGTGCTGTGACTCGCCCACTAGGAGATGAGAAAAACCTACCTGTAACTGGTCTTGCTAATTACTGACCTTATTGCGCATCCAGGGACATGGTCAGGGGCCTCTCGCCTACCTACGTTCATCTTTACAACCCAGGAGAGATGGAGGATGATGGTGATGATGATGATGATTAGTACAATAGCGATCATTTATGGAGCTTTGTCTCTGCCAGGTCCCATACTAACCCTTTTCCAGCCCATTTAATTCTTACAATGAGCTAGATGCTATATCACCAAACCCATGTACAGATGAGGAAACTGAGGCTCAGAGAGATTCAGTAACTTGCTGAAGGTCACATACCCAGTAAGTGGCAAAGCCAGACTGGAACTCAAACCTGGCCAACCCCACAGTCTGCTCCTTCTCCCCTCCCTGCTCCCTGCTCAAACTTGGGCCCCTCTCCCTGACAGTCCCACAGTGATTGTCCCCCACGATGACTGGTCCTCTCCAGGCTGGGCATCCCCAGCCTGCACCAAGAAGGTCCCCTTCCCCTGGATGTCCCTTCCTTCATGTTCTCCATGGTCTCTGGGTAGAGTCTTTGCTGTCCTGTCCCCTTCCTCACCCAGGCCCCTGCCTCTAAGTTCATGGCCAAAGCCACTCTGCTATTCTGCCCACTGAGTGCCCATTGCTGACCACTGGCCAAGGCTGCCAGACTCCTGGTTCTTCCCCACCTGCAGGCAGGGCCCCAGAGTCTCTCCAGACCACGGACCCCCAGGGCAGTGGGCATGGTGGCTCTGATTGTTTCAGTACGGACAGAGAAACCAAGGTCACAGAGTGCAGATGGCCTGTCTAAGTAGTGGTCATGGTAAGGGTGATCCTCTGAGCCTTCGTCTGGGTCCTTGGGGGCTTCCACTTCCCCCACCCGCATGCTCTGCTGAGTCCCATGAGTTGAAGGCTCTGATCCTCGGGGGTTTGGCCAGAGCTGGGTGAAGCTGGGAGGCGAGGCTGTGGTCCCAGCTGTTCTTCTGTGTGACCTGAGGCCAGCTACTGCCAGCTGGGGTCTGTTTCCCCACATGTAAAATGGCCTGGTGGATGCAGCCCTGTGCACCATCCAGGGCAGAGAGGATGGGCAGGGAGTGAGGTTGGTGGTGACATCCAAAGGCACAGCGTGTTGTCACGGGGTGTGGGGGGAGATGTGAGGAAGGTGGGCTCCAGCCATGCAGCCCACCTTGCCTCAGCCCAGGGGTGGCCTGGCACATGTTGAGGGTCCTTTCCTGCAGGACGGCCACTGTGTGGAAGACCCTGTGCCCCTTCTGGGGTGAGGAGTATCAGGTGCGCATGCCACCCACCTTCCACGCTGTGGCCTTCTACGTCATGGACGAGGATGCCCTCAGGTGGGTGCCCCCTCTTCAGCTGGGCCCAAGCGTGGCCACCTGTCCTGCTCCCCGCCCATGGCACTGCCGGACTGCTGGCTCCTGGGCATCTTCTTTGTGGCCCAGAGGGAGGGGCGGGCCCTGAGCATGCGGGATTCACGGTGCCCTCGCCACAGCACACGTGGGTATGTGCGGGGATGTAGGCCCAGGTGGGCTATGTGTGCATGGGGATGTGAGCTATGAGATGGGCACCCAGAAAGCATGAACTGGGCATGCGTGGGCACCCATGTTGGTCCCTGTGCTGAAACACATGATGATTAGTGTCCAAGGCTACAGAAGGGATCTAGCCTCACTGGGCTGTGCTGCAAGTGACTGGAGTGTCAACCTTCCTGCTCTGCAGGAGGGGCCCTGAATGTGGTGGGAGGGGGTGCTGGGTTCCCAGCAAGTAGATGCTGCAGCCCTGCCCAGCTCTGACTCCCATCTCCACCCTCCAGCCGCGACGATGTCATCGGGAAGGTCTGCCTTACAAGGGACACTCTAGCCTCTCACCCCAAGGGTAAGGTCCCTGAGAAGGAGTCCATGGCTAGCACCTGCTTCCCCTCCCCTGGCCTCTCTCCCACTCAGAGACCTTCCCTCTAGGCTCCTTCAGGTCCCCTGCTCAGGGAAAGCCATTTCTCCCCTCCCCAGAAGCCTGCACCCCCTGCCTCTGTGCCCTGGGCCCATTCATCTTCCCTAGGGCAAAGAGGGGCTGCTGATGGTGGGATCTGAGGTCTCTACGGGCAGAGGGAGGGGCCACCTTCCTAAACTCCATTGCTGAGGTGTAGGGATCCCTCTTCCCAATGCCACTATGTCCTAAGCCTGAAGGGTTGGCCTGGAGCCAGTTCAGGCTGGGGAGCACTCTGGATTATTCCTGGGATGCAGACATTGTTTGGAGGTGTCAGCCCTGTCGCAGCCTCACTGCGTGACCCTGGGCAGGTCTTGCCTTCCCTGGGCTTCTCTGAGGATTCAGACCAGGAGCTCTAGATGCTCCAGGCTCTGCCACCTGAGACTCTGTGACCCTCTTGCCACCTCCCCGACACACACCTGCTCCTGTCTGTGAGACTGGGGCAGGCATGGGGCGGGGGGGGCGGGGAGGAGGGGAGAGGGTGCAGGTTCTGCTGACTCATGCAGCCTCTCAGTCCCTGCCAGGCCAGAGGCCTCTCCTGCCTGCAGCCCCAGCCAGCCTCTCGGGGTCTCTTGTAGCTTCCCCATCTGGGCCTCAGATCCTCCTCCCAGCAGCCCTAGGGGAGAGCCACTCTCTTCCTGTTTTAAGATGGGGGAACTGAGGACAGAGAGGGCAGTCCTATGACGAGTTAGGAATAGAGCATGGCACAATAGAGAGGGCACAGGCCTTGACATCACTGACTTAGATTCTAATCCCAGCTGTTCCAGCTGCTGCTGTTCAGCTTCTGAGCCTCAGTTTCCCACCTACCACTGGGGGTGACAGCTCCTGCCTCACGGGTGCTTGAGAAGATTCTAAGGGGATTACAGAGGGGCCACATGGTGCCGGGCGGGGCTCAGGGTGGAGGGTGTGGAGGGAAAGAGCCAGGCCTCTGGCTGAGCTGCAGCCCCATAGGTTTCAGCGGGTGGGCCCACCTGACGGAGGTCAACCCAGATGAGGAAGTGCAGGGTGAGATCCACCTGCGGCTGGAGGTGGTGCCAGGGCCCCGGGTCCGCTGGCTGCGCTGCTCTGTGCTGGAGGCCAGGTGAGATGGGGTACTGGGAGTGGGCAGTGGGGCCCATGGAACTAGAGAAACCCGCTGGGCAGAGCCTCCTCTTCCCTGCCCTGCCAGGCCAGAGGCCTCTCCTGCCTGCAGCCCCAGCCAGCCTCTCGGGGTCTCTTGTAGCTTCCCCATCTGGGCCTCAGATCCTCCTCCCAGCAGCCCTAGGGGAGAGCCACTCTCTTCCTGTTTTAAGATGGGGGAACTGAGGACAGAGAGGGCAGTCCTATGACGAGTTAGGAATAGAGCATGGCACAATAGAGAGGGCACAGGCCTTGACATCACTGACTTAGATTCTAATCCCAGCTGTTCCAGCTGCTGCTGTTCAGCTTCTGAGCCTCAGTTTCCCACCTACCACTGGGGGTGACAGCTCCTGCCTCACGGGTGCTTGAGAAGATTCTAAGGGGATTACAGAGGGGCCACATGGTGCCGGGCGGGGCTCAGGGTGGAGGGTGTGGAGGGAAAGAGCCAGGCCTCTGGCTGAGCTGCAGCCCCATAGGTTTCAGCGGGTGGGCCCACCTGACGGAGGTCAACCCAGATGAGGAAGTGCAGGGTGAGATCCACCTGCGGCTGGAGGTGGTGCCAGGGCCCCGGGTCCGCTGGCTGCGCTGCTCTGTGCTGGAGGCCAGGTGAGATGGGGTACTGGGAGTGGGCAGTGGGGCCCATGGAACTAGAGAAACCCGCTGGGCAGAGCCTCCTCTTCCCTGACCTCTACCTCCTGTCCCAGGGCCTCCTCCCATCCAAGCCTGCTCTCAAAAGCAGGGAGGTTTTCCCGACTCGAGGATGTGTCCTCCCTGCAGGAGGTAACTTCCCTTCAGGGGCATATGCCCCTAAAGGAAGGGATGATGTTCTAATGGTGGAACTTCAGGCATCATAGAGCAGTGGGGATTAGGGATGTGGGGGACCCTGAACTGTGACCCTGCAGCCCCGATGCACCAGTGGTAAGGCTGGGCTTCCCCTGGGTTTAACCCCAATATGAACTTGACCTGATGTACGTATGCATGTGTAGGTTCTCAGTGGAGTGGGGGCTGAAGATCTGCTGGAAATCTCTAGATGGGAGGGGTGGACGTTGTCCCTAGGAGGGACAGTGGCTTGGATGGCTCCATGGGCCTGAGTCACCTGTGACAGGACTACCGCCTGGCCCCAGGGTATTTTTAGCTGCAGGCTCCGCTCCCGTCTGGGCCTGGGTGTGAGTCATACCCATTCCATGAGAAGCGCCTTCCTTTCTGGCTCCAAACCCACCTCCCTAAAGACCCTCCCTGCCTCTGGGTGGGCGGGTGGCCCCCAGCCAGCCAGCACCTATGGAGCAAGTGGGCCCCCCACCCTGGGGTGGTTAGCCTGTGCAGGAGGAAGATTTCTTTCCTGCAAATGAGGGGTGTGGGTGGATGACGGGCAAGTCGTGCATTCTGTGGCTTCCCCAGCTTCATTATCTGCCCTGGGGCTGGGATGTGGAAGAGGCCCAGCCAGGCTGGATAGAAAAGGGCTGGACTTGGGTAGAGCCACATTCACGCCCCTGCACTCACTCACTGTTACCCACGATCCATCCCCTGCTCACCCGCGTCCTTGCCCTCAGCCCTGCCTGGCACCAGGCTGTCTGGGGCGTGGGCGTGCACATGTGTGCACACGCAATGCTGCCAAGCTCTGGGACTTAGGGGCTGCTTCTCCTGGGGGCCCACTCCCTCCCACAGAGATGGGAGACACCGAAGCATTTCTCCCTGGCTGTCCCCTCCCTCCAAGAATCTCCTGTCTCAGCCAGCCCTCTCCTCTTGAGGCTGTTGGGGACACAGTGGCCGGGCCAGTCTGGTCTCCTCTTAGCCAGCCCCAGTGGTAGGAAAGATATATGTCCAGGCCTTTCTTTGGAGTGGGGGACCCTTGTCCCCATTGTCCTTAGCAATGAGACTCTGCAATGGAATCCTGAGACAGCATCAGAAGCCCTGTTTGCTGCAGAGAAAGAAAACTTCCTCCTTATCTTTCTGGGCAGATTCTCCAGGCCAGACCTTGAAGTTGTTAGACAGTTTTGAGGGGAAAGAAAGGCAGGCACGAGAGGTATAAGACTTAAAATACGGAAAAAGAAAAGGGCAGAAAGTAGTACATACAGTAGCCAGGAGAAGGGTGGGCTTTGTTCTTCCACAAAGGCTTCTACACCAGGGTGCTGTGACCAGGTTTGGGCTTTGGAAAGATCCATCTGTGGAGAGAGGGAAGGTTGACTGATCAGGGCTATATGTCTCCCTCCCCAGGTATGGAGACATTATTGGGCAGGTCTTCTAGAACCCCCTTATCTCTCTTAGCCTCAGTGGGGTAGGCTATCTTCTCCCTTTTACTGATGAGGAAACCGAGGCCCAGAGAGGCTATCCCAGCTCTGGGCTGCCCTGGGAACAGAGGGCAGGGGCCGTGGCCTGGGCTGGTCCCCCGCTGCCCTTGTCTCCCCTGGCCCCTGGAGTGAGGTGCAACAGCTGGTCCCCTGCTGCCCAATCAGAAGGAGCTGTGGCTTCCACCTTGGGGGGTTCTTGGCCACATGGGGACCATGGGGTGATCACTGCGGGAACAGAGGCACAGGAAAGGGAGAGGCACTGTCTGCAGCCAGCCAGCTTGCCAGGGGCAAGGTGAGTCCAGGCCTTTCCAGCCTGGTGTGGTTACCTCACAGTGGTGACAGGTTGGGGGGCAGCCTCGGGTGACAAGTGGATGATCCACTGTACCCCCCACACCATCAGGGACCTAGCCCCGAAGGACCGGAATGGCGCATCTGACCCCTTTGTCCGAGTGCGCTACAAGGGCCGGACGCAGGAGACCTCGGTGAGGACGCGGTGACAGGTCAGGCTGGGACCGCAGTCTTACGGAGGAGGCCTGGAGAAGTGGGGCAGCCTTTCTGAGGGGACGTAATGGGTCCCAGCCCTTCTGGCCCCAACCCCTTTTACTCCTGGCCATGTGGGGGGTGGGAGTAGAGTGGGGAGGGGATCGGGACAGCTGGAGGGGGTTAATCCAGAAAGTCCAACAGTTCCACCCTGCTTTCCTCACCTCCAGGAAACAGGCAGGGTGGCAGGCTCAGTTCTGGGGGGGGTGCTGAGATCAGCAGTTGCTACCATTTCGTGGTGTGGCTTTGGACAAGTCCCTTCCCCACTCCAGGCCTCAATTTCCCCACCTGAGAAATGGGTGGAGGCTTGGACAGGAAGTTTTTGCCAGGGTTACTGCAGAGCCTCTGAGGAGAGGAGTTTGCAGGGAGCCCAGGGGAGGTGATCGGGGTGGCTCTGTCCTTAGCTGGGCCAGGGGAGCCCCAGGGAGTCAGTCTCACCCCCTCCTGCTCCTTTCTGGACAGATTGTGAAGAAATCATGCTACCCACGCTGGAATGAGACTTTTGAGTTTGAGCTGGGGGAGGGGGCCACAGAGGAATTGTGCGTGGAGGCCTGGGACTGGGACCTTGTCAGCAGAAATGACTTCCTGGGCAAGGTGAGTATCCCACCCTACCCCCTGCCCACACACACACACAGGCTGCACCTGCTGCCTTCAGCACCTGGTCTCCATCCCAGACATCCCACCCTTGGAAGGTACCCCTCCCCCTGAGAGAATGGTACTTGGTAAGGAAGAGACCTGAGTGTCTCAGCCCCAGCATGATGCCTCTGTCTGCCCTGCCACCAGGTAGTGTTCAATGTCCAGAGACTGGGAGCAGCCCAGCAGGAGGAAGGCTGGTTCCGGCTGCAGCCCGATCAGTCTAGGAGCCATCAGAGGGATGAGTGAGTGCCTGGGGCTTGGCAGCCCTAGGTTCCCTTCAGCCCTTGCCCACCACGCTAGATCCTCCTCACCCAGGCTGGGCCCCACCTCCTCTTCCCCATGGTCCTGCACCCAGCCCTGCCCTCTGAGCTTGGAGGCGCTACAGGTCTCCTGCTTTTTGCCTTCCGGCAGTTTCTAGAACAGGCCCTCAGACCCTTTCCCTTTAGGAGTTTCCCTGCAGACCTCAGACCAGCGTTCAAGTCCTGAGTTAGTGTCCTTGAGCTCTGACTCCCTCCCTGAGATTCTCCAGGAACAGCGTTGCCAGGTGAAAGGACACCCAGTGAAAACGGGATCTCAGATAAATGACAAATATTTTTTCAGTATAAGAATAACCATGCAATATTGGAAACATACTTGTACTAAAAATATTCCAATTTAACTGGGTATCTTGTGTTTTTGTTTGCTAAATCTAGCATCCCTGTCTAGGAAGCCCTTTGACTTGTGGGTTCCCACCCCCTTGGATGGTTCAGCTTTGCCTCCTAGCAGAAGGCTCTAGACCCTCATCCCCACCCTTGCCAGGGCAGGTGGCTGGTGCATGTCCGGCATCAAGGCATTTCTGTAGAACCAACCAAGGGCCGTCTGGACAGCTTCTCCTCAGAGTCAGGCTTGCGTGGAGTAGCAGGACCTCCGGAGCTGCCATGCTGTGCAGAGGGTGGTAGGGCCTTAGTGAATGTCAAGTCTTGGTCAGCACCCTCACTGGGAGCAATCAGGGCAAGGCAGCTTGGAAGTCAGGCCTAATGTGGTAAGTGGCTTAATCTGCTTGAGCCTCAGTTTCCCTGGCAGGTTGTTATGAGGGTTGGGATTTGCTCCCAGTGTCAAGTATACTCATGAAGGTACTACTATCTGGCAGTTTATGGACTTGAGTTCAGGGAGCCCAGCAGGCCTACATGGGTCAAACTTGGGGTCCACAGGAGCTGGGAGGTGGCAGGGAGCCAGGCCTCAAAGGCTTGGTGTTTCCATGAGTAGTGAGGCAGGAAAGGCTTTCCAAGCAGAGGACAGCACAGGCACAGCACAGGAGGTGGGGCAGTGCAGGGAGCCCACCCAGCACAGCGGAGGGCAGGAACAGAGGCTGGGAGGCTGGCCCTACAGGGGAGACCTGAGGCAATGGGAGGGGGCACGGCCTGGGGTGACCTGGGTCCCTGGTGGAGAGGTCACAGTCTGCCCGTTCCAGGGGCAACCTGGGCTCTTTGCACCTGGAGGTTCGGCTGCGGGACGAGACGGTGCTGCCCTCCGCCTGCTACCAGCCCCTGGTGCAGCTGCTGTGCCAGGAAGTGAAGCTGGGCAACCAGGTCAGGAGCCCTGGGGGAAGGTGGGAGGGTCCAGTGACAGTAGACCTGTCCTCCCTGTCCTTCTAAACCCATTCTGCAGAGCAGAAGACTGAGTTCTCAGGATGGCTTGGAGCTGGCCAGTTCCCAGGGCCCTGCCCCAGGCCATCCCTTGGGAAAGCATCCCTTTGCCCCATCATGCTCCAGGTCCCCATAGTGGATGATTATTGTATCTCCAAGCCCTGCCTCTCCCTACTACCTCCTGCAGGGCCCAGGGCAGCTGATCCCACTCATCGAGGAGACAACCAGTGCCGAGTGTCGCCAGGATGTGGCCACCAACCTGCTTAAGCTCTTCCTGGGGCAGGGGCTGGCCAAGGACTTTCTGGACCTGCTCTTCCAGCTGGAGCTGGGTCGCACCAGTGAGGCCTGGGAGGGAGCCAGTCCTAGGGCATGGTGGAGGAGGGAGTCCTCCTGTAGGAGGCTGACAGGTCAGATAGAAGGGAGGTGTGGGAAAGGGCAGAAGTGGGGCAGTGGGTTGGGAGGTGGCGAGAAGGCCCTTTACTGAGGGGCCAGCTTAGAGCCCCCAGCCCCAAGGTCCTCTGTTTTCCTCCCCCAAAGCCTTGTCCCAACCCCCTACCTGCTGGAACCTCTGCTTTTAGGTGAGGCCAACACCCTGTTCCGGAGCAACTCTCTGGCCTCAAAGTCCATGGAGTCTTTTCTGAAGGTGAGTTTGTTTGCATGCCATATTGTTCTCATTTTGTAGATGACAATACTGAGGTCTAGAAAGGCCAAGAGCAGGGACTTTAAAGTGTCCTCTCTCTGCATCCAGGGCCCTTTAAGGCTAAGAATTTAATTCATTCATGGAGAAGCAATTTGTTCAACGGCCCTCCTTGTGCACCTGGGCTGATACAGCAGGCAGATGGTGCGGGGGTGGGTGGGGAGGCCAGCGGCTGGGATATATTAGGCAGCTGGAGGTGGGACACAGGACCAATGCGGCTCGCGGTGGCCCCCAGGTGGCTGGGATGCGGTATCTGCACGGTGTCCTGGGCCCCATCATTGACAGAGTGTTTGAGGAAAAGAAGTATGTGGAGCTGGACCCCAGCAAAGTGGAAGTTAAGGATGTGGGGTGAGGCCTGGGGAAACCCCTGGGGATGCAGCAGTGAGGGGGCGGAGGTGTTAGGCCCTGTCTGCAAATATGTGTTTATGGTTCTTTCTTCCCGTGTCTGTCGTTGCCCTGCCCACCTGTGTGTTGTGTCTAAGTCCGTGTCTCGGCTCTTGTGCCTCTGGGAGTCCGTGACCACGACCGTCTCTGCCACTCCGCCCGTGCCCACGCAGGTGCTCGGGGCTGCACCGCCCACAGACCGAGGCCGAGGTGCTGGAGCAGAGCGCGCAGACGCTGCGCGGCCACCTGGGGGCGCTGCTGGGCGAGCTCTGCCGCTCGGTGCGTGCATGCCCCGCTGTGGTGCGCGCCACTTTCCGCCAGCTCTTCCAGCGCGTGCGCGAGCGCTTCCCCAGTGCCCAGCACGAGGTGCGCCTAATGCGGGCGGGCCCCGGGCGGAGGGAAGGGGAGGGCGGGAGTTCGAAGCCCATCCTGGATAAGAGGAGTGGTGCGATGGGGAGAGGCTGGCGGGCACGCAGGCCTGGGGGAACCTAGCCTCGCTCTCTTGCACTCCTCCAGAACGTGCCATTCATCGCCGTCACCAGCTTCCTGTGGAGGTCGAAGCCCATCCTGGATAAGAGGAGTGGTGCGATGGGGAGAGGCTGGCGGGCACGCATGCCTGGGGGAACCTAGCCTCGCTCTCTTGCACTCCTCCAGAACGTGCCATTCATCGCCGTCACCAGCTTCCTGTGCCTGCGCTTCTTCTCTCCCGCCATCATGTCGCCCAAGCTCTTCCACCTGAGGGAGCGACACGCAGACGCCCGTACCAGCCGCACCCTTCTCCTGCTGGCCAAGGTGCGGGCCTGTAGGCAGGGATGGGATGCCCGGCTGGGTGTTGCACAGTGGCCCTTGCCTGGACTGCAGTCTGTCCCTGACTGGCTCCTGCAGGGCCTTGCAGCAAGCCCACTGATATGCTCATGTGGGCACTGCACTTCACAGTTTGCAACGCTTTGTCGTGGTCATCTCAGCTGAGCCCCATCCTGTAGATAAGAGAACAGGTCTGCAAGGGAACGGAGTGACAGGGCCGTACAACCTGTCAGTGGTGAATGGAGCCTTCCAATCCAGGTCTATTTACTCCCAGGCTGTACCTATCTGTCCGGTACCAGGCTGGTGCTGGGGTCCCCAGTGCAGCAGTCATATTAAACCTGCAGAGGAAAGTCAATAGGTTGGGCCCAAATGGTCTCAACTATCAGGTCCCAAAAGGCTGCAAACGCCATGATCCATCCATCCATGATCGCCCCTAGAGCTGGGGTGGGCCCGTGGGCAGGGCCTCTGCCATCTCTGCGTCTATCTCTACAGATGGTATAACAGACTGGCAGGAGTTTGGGGTGCATTGGCCAGGCCCCTGACCCAGCAGAGCCTGATCCTTCCTGCTGTCACCCCCAGGCGGTCCAGAACGTGGGCAACATGGACACGCCGGCTTCCAGGGCCAAGGAGGCCTGGATGGAGCCGCTGCAGCCCACCGTGCACAAGGGCGTGGCACAGCTGAAGGACTTCATCACCAAGCTTGTGGACATCGAGGAGAAGGAGGGTGCGTGCGACCCCGCCCACAGCCGCCTGTCCGCATTTGCCCCGCCCACAGCCCCGCCTCCACTCACTGGCTCTCTCTTCGGCTGCCTTCCCTGGCCCCGCAGAGCTGGAGCTGCAGCGGACGCTGAGCTTGCAGGCACCGCCCGTGAAGGAGGGGCCGCTCTTCATCCACAGGACCAAGGGCAAGGGCCCCCTCATGTCCTCCTCCTTCAAGAAACTCTACTTCTCCCTCACCACTGAGGCTCTCAGCTTCGCCAAGACGCCCAGCTCCAAGGTGGGTTAGGAGGGAGGCCGGCAAGAAGGGCTCCCTGGAGGCACCCGTCCCCTTCCTTGAAGCCCACCCCAGGGTCCACGGAGCAGAGAAGAAAGCCAGGCTAGGACCAGGCTTTTGGTGTCTGCAGTGCTCGTTGGCTACAAGGTTACTGGAGACCTTGATGGAGGGAGAATGAAGCCTCTGCCGAGGGCGCCTGGGACACAGTGGCTGCAGTGTTCAATCCTGGCTTCTTGGTCAGGTGCATGGGGTGGGGCTGACAGGTGCTTCCAGGGGACCAGGGAAGCAGAGAGGGGGTGAGAGTCCTGACAGGAGCCAGAACAGGCATTGAGTGCTGGTTTCCAGCCCTGACTCAGCTGTGTGTACGTAGAAGTGTCTGTACCTCTTGGTTTCTCAGCCTGTGAATTGGAATGATGGTTCCTACTTAGCGGCTTGTGACCTTTCAAAGTGTCCTAACCCAGGGCCTGAGACCTAGTACCATTTAGGTCAATGGTATTATAAGAGACACTATATCTGGCTGGCCATGTAGCTCGGTGGGTTAGAGTGTGGTGATGATAACATCAAGGTCTAGGGTATGATTCTTACACTGGCCAACTGCCAAGGGAAAAAAAAAAGAAAAAGGCACTACATCCCCAGGACTGGGGTCCCACAAGCTCTCTTCTCCCAAGAAGACCTGAGGATGTGCTTCTTTGATGGACCTGCTGACCTTTCGCTGGGCTGACCTGATCCCCACCCCCCATTCAGGCTATGGGATGGTCTGCTAGGGGAGCCCAACCCTGCCCCGAGCAGTTGAGAGTGGGCTGGGGATAAGCGAAAGAGCTTATCACACCCCTGTTCTCAGGGAGCCAGCCACGGGTTCTACCAGATGAGTGGCCCAGCCTCTCCCCCGCCAAAGATCCCTCAGATTATTTTTATGCATCTTACCCATCAGGACTGAAAGATTTTGCCACTTAGGCATTTAGTTCTAGTCCCCATTTTTGTCCCTTGTCAACCTGTAACAGCCAGTCAGGTGGCCTGTCCGTCTGAGACAGTTGGGGTCACCATTGTGATTTCCACCCTGAGCAGGGCTTCTAGCCTTGGTTGGCCTCTGCCCCATCAGGGGATGCCCACCCTTGTCTTGAGGAGCTCTGCAGTCGGGAAAGTGTTCACAGTCCCCGTCATGGCCATTCTGGAGAGTGCCTGCCGTGGCTCAGGTGTCTGTCGTCTTGCTCTCCAACCTCGCCGCATTGCTGGTGTTATTCCCATTTCACAGAAACCGAGGCTCCAAAGTGCAGAGGGACTTGTCCAAAGTCACATAGCAGGTTGTGGTGGAGCTGAGATGTGTGCTCATGTCTACCTGATTCTGCAGCCTGGCCCTCCCCAGGACACCACTGCTTGCCAGTTGGGAATCCCAAGATTGTGTGGTAGCAAATGGCAGGAGGGAACCAGGACCCGAACAGAGGCCTGGCTAGTAAAGACTGCTAGAGTGAGGAGGAAGGCTGGGGCAACCAGGGAAGAGGCAGGAACCCAGAATCTTCCTCCTGGAAGAGTCAGTATATAGAATCACTGAATCTTAGCACCAGGAGGGATCTCAAAGATCATCTTGTCCAACTCTGTCTGGGTCACGGATCACCTCTCCAGGATCCCCAAAAGACCGTTCGCATGCTGCTGCTGATGGGGACCTCACTGCTCATAAAGGTAGCCGCTTCTGTCTTTGAAGCTCTGTTAGGATGTTTTTTACCTTGAGCCGACACCCGCTTCCTTGTGGCTCTTTTCTGATCTTTGCTCTGCTCCTCTGCCCTAACACAGCAGGAACCATAAACTTAAGTGTGCTCTCCTAGAACCCCCACCTCCCTGAGCTCTTTAGCCATTCTACTGGGAACGGAGGGCAAGTCTCTTCTCCATCTTCTTAGCATGTTTTAATTTACCCAGTTTCCTCATAGACTGTGGCATTCAGAACTGAGCACAGCACCATGCATGTTATCTGAACACTGAAGAGCAGACTGTCACCTCCCTGATTCTGGTCACTATACCTCTGTTAATACTGCTTTCGTTCATCCTTTTTCCCTTTGTTAGTACATCTCTCAATAGATTTTTACTCAATTTTCAGAATCTCAAGTAATTTTTATTTTTTTCCTTCAGAGAAGAAAAAACAAACTTGAGCAGAGCTTCATATTTATTCCTCTTAAACTTGATCTTGTTTAAATCAGCCTTTGGCTCCAGCTGTCTGAGATCTTTTCCAGTTCTGAATCTGAGCATGACCCTGGGTTCTTCCCCAGGTCACTGATAAACCCAGTACTCAAGGGCAGATCTTGGGGCCTGTTCCTGAGGCTCCCCCAGACGAGGAGGACACAGTCCACCGATAGGCACTGTCTGTGGGAGCCCCCACATGCTCCTGATTTTGTGACTTAGCTGCAAAGGAAATATGCTTAGCGGGGGAGACCCCATGACCACCCCCTGTGAGCACAGCCTCCCCTTCCAGCTGCGACCTGTCATCTCATCACCTGGCCCAAAATTCCTCAGGGCTCAGTTGTTGGCACAATTTGCCCACTGCCCCTCCCCACCCTGGGAATCGCAGCTGTATCTGCCCAGCTCTGGCCCTTCTGTGCCTGGTTTTGGGGTTCTGATGTCATCTGATGTCTTGAAGTCAGCACAGTTTCTCTCCCACTTGTTGCTCCCCCGCAGTCCTCATCCCATGCTGGGCAGCTGCCCCTCCTGTCCCTGCTTGCAGCACTCTTCTCAGCCCACCTGGTCTGCAGCAGATCTCCTCTGGTCCTCACTGGGGTGACCCTTCAGCCCAGGCCTCCCACTTTCCAGCTTCATTAGCTCTGGGCAGCTGCCCGGCCCTCAGGTCCCTTCTGTGTTTTCTGCAGCCTTGGCAGAGCCTGATTACTGGACAGAGCCTTCTTTCTGCATGTCTGGGCCACCTCGTGTTCCTGGGCATTGCACTGTGCCCTTCCATGGGCATGTCCCATGTCCCTCTGTGCAGCAACGCTCCCCCGCCTCCTCTCTGCCTTGTCTGCAGCAGACACACGCCAGCACAGGCAGTGAATCCTCTGGCAGAGAGTCCTGCCACCTGCTTTGTCCTTTGACAGATCCCACTCTGAGGCAGCTCAAATGCATGTCCCCACTCCTCCCAAGAGGTGGCACTGCCCCTGCTCTGATTGTCGCTGAGGCCAGTGGGGGTGGTGGGCTTTACATACCTGGCTGGGAGTGCAGGCATGATCCTGAGGGCCATGGGGACCAGTCATTTGGATGATGCCCTGCTGAGTTCTGATGAGAGAGTATCCAAGAGGCAGGGAGAGCCGGGGCTGGGATGTAGATTTGGCTTTAGCAGGTTGGGGGCCCTTCAAGGACGTGGGTATTTTAGATCCAGCTATTCTCTTTGTCCTATTTGTGTCTCATCAGTTAATGGTGGGAGGAGGGAGGAGACGGGGGATGGGATATGACTTTTAGAGGCTGGGAAAACAAAAGCGAGTTGGAAAATTAATAGTGCAGAGGCACAGGGCCTGGTCCACAGCAGGCATGACTTTGTAGCCCAGGTAATGCTGGTATCCAGACTATTCCAAAACTCACACTTCCCAGGCCTGCTGGGAGCCCCTGATAGGCCAGACTGCACCTCTCCCAGCTACTGGGTCCTTGGTCACCATCAGTCTGTGCTCTGTCCTGACTGAGGTCACTCACAGAGTAGGCTCCTGGGAGTAATAGGCACTCTGGGTCCCTCACGATAACCCCTGGTGCTGCGGAAAGGCAGGCTGAATCCCTGAGACTCCCTTCCCCTGCCTGCCCCAGAAAAGTGCGCTCATCAAGCTAGCCAACATCCGGGCAGCAGAAAAGGTGGAGGAGAAGAGCTTCGGCAGCTCGCACGTTATGCAGGTCATCTACACAGACGACACTGGCAGGCCCCAGACTGCCTACCTGCAGTGCAAGGTGAGGGCCCTGCGGAAGGGGCAAGGAGGCACCTGCCAGGAGGGGTTGCTGTGGGAGTCTGCCTGGGTGGGCTGGAATGAGGAGGGAGGGAGTCTCCCACTGCCCATGAGCCACATCAGGGACAGTAGGGTGTGTCCGATCTGATGTCAGTGTGCATATGTGCGTGCGTGCATGCGTGTGTTGTCCTGGGGTCTGAACACCTGGCGGGCCATGTCCCGTGTCTTTCCATGGGCACCCAGGTGTAGGTCTGTGTTTGGTCCAGTGTGTGAACAGTGCGTCCCTGTGATCTGAGCTTGCACGCTGCACCCATTTGTGGGAAGCTGTATTTCCAAATATCCGAGCTGCCACCTGTGTGTTTCTGGGTATGCATCAACATGTAACAGGGCTGGCCAGTCAGCTTGCTTGGCTAGAGCACAGCGTTATAACAACACTGAGGTCATGGGTTCAGATCCCTGTCCTGGTCAGCTGCCAAAAACAACATATAATAATCACACGTTGATGCATATGCGTGGCTCTGGGTGCGTGCTCTTAAATACCCTTTTCGTCTGTTCGTTTATTAACCCATTCACTCATGTAAAAAGTATTTTTTATACAATTGAGCATCTGCGAGGTTCCAAGCACAATTTCAGGTGGGGGTACAGTGGCAGACAAAGCAGAGCCCCTGCCCTCGTGGAGCTTGTATCTTAGAGGAGAAGATGGGCCAATAAATAAATATCGAAAATGCCAAATGGTGATAGTGTCTCGAAGGGAAGTAAGGCAGACAGAGAGGGAGGGGACAAGGTGGGTGCAGCAGGAAGGGGTGCTGCTTCGTAACAGGTGCTCGTAGAGGGCCTCTGATAGGTGGCATTTGAGCAGGGACATTGTGAGGGGGTGAGCCAGATATGTATCTGGAACAAGTAGGAAGGTTGAGGTTGGAGTGGGCTTGGCTTTTTTCCAGGAATGACTGTCCTGGGCTGGGGTGGGGAGGAGGTTGCAGACTTATCCCACAGGGCCCTGCCCTCTAGGGGTTCCCTTTTGGGTCAGAGTCTAAAGTCTCAGGGAAAGAGTGGTGATAGCTGGACCACCACTTATAGTTGGTAGGTTCTGGAATACCCAAGGGCATGGCTGAGGGGCCAGTGGCAGCTGCAGTCCAGCCACACTCTGCCAAGCTGTGTGCCCGGGCTGGGCTGTGTCCCTCTGGAGGAAGGGCAGCTCTTCCTAATTCACTCAAGCTGCTGAGTGGGCTAGTGGGGAATGTGGCATCTGGAGTGGTCCAGAAGCCCCCGGGAGGGCTTCCTGGAGGAGGTGACTCCCTAACGGGTCACCCTCCCCCCATGTCCCCTGCAGTGTGTGAATGAGCTGAACCAGTGGCTGTCTGCACTGCGGAAAGTAAGCATCAACAACACTGGCCTGCTGGGCTCCTACCACCCCGGCATCTTTCGCGGGGACAAGTGGAGCTGCTGCCACCAGAGGGACAGAACAGGTGGGGCAGAGGCCCGGGTTTGCACTCTGTGTGTGTCTGTAGCAGGGCCATGGCTGGGAGATGGGGCACTGAGCCCTGCCTCGCCATCCTGCTTGGGAAGTCCTGTGCACCCGTGGGAACCAACCCGAGGAAAGCCGGCCCCTCCAGGTGCTCCGGGCAAAAAGGGTGCTGTGACCAGGTGGGAAATGCCACACGATACGTGTGATGCACGAGAGTGAATGCTTGAAGGCTCTGAGGAGCTTGAAAATTCGCCAGAGTCCCATTTCTAATGCTGGTTAAGCCAGCACTTCTCAAACTCATTTGACAGGGAACCCTAGGGAGCCCTGCTCTTGCCCAGTGAGCTTCTTGTGAAATCCGTGTTCCAAGGAACACACTTGAGGAATTCCCTGCTAAGGAGGCCCGAAGAGAGCCCCCAACTCTTCACACTCCCATGCTGGCAGCCTGATACTGGAGCCGGGGGTGGGAGGGGACCCTGGGCCTTGGGCACTAGAGGGACACCAGAGAGGAGCTTCCAGAGGGACTCTCGGTGACGATGGAAATGGTGTATAACCACATTGTCCAGTATTCCAGCCACTGCCACATTTGGCTACTGAGTACTTGAAATGTGGCTGGTGTGTAGCTGAGGAACTGAATTTTACATTTTTTAAATTCTGTGTAATTTTAATTAACCGAAATAGCTTCATGTGGCTATTCATGTGGCCTAGTGGCTAGCCTGTTGGACATCACAGTTTTAGAACTTCCAAGACCCCATCCCTTATCCCCCTGCTTCAAAGTAGACTTGGCCCCCAGAGCCTGGCCTGGTAGAAGCCAGCAGATCCTGACCCACTCTCTCTAGCCCAGCCCTCAACTTTCTGTTGAGCAGTGGGAGGAACTGGTGGCTCTTGGTAGCTCTTTACAAGGACATTGCTAGCTGTGACTCGATCTGCTGCCTCTTGCAGTAACCGTCGCAGTGATACTCTCATTATTGATGAAGTGGGGCTCACCGTGGCCCAAGAGGCAGGGCCTGTTATCCCATTGTCCAGGGGAGAAACCAAGGCTTAGAGAGGGCAGATGACTCAGCTAAGGACCTTAAGCCAGCAGTGGCAGGACCAGCTCATTCCAAGGCCCATCTCACCATGACCTTATAGTTCCAGGCTCCTCCCTGCTTCCTTCCAGGCAGCCAGCATTCCAGAAGGTTATCCAGCCCATCTCCCCCCACCACCTCGAGATTGCATCCCGCACAACTCCCACACTCTGTGGTCATGTGTTGCATGGTCTTGGAGCTGAACCCGAGATGAGCCACTGCCCCCAGAAAGATGGGGACCCACAGGCAGGGCCTGGCCAGTCTCACCAGGCTGTGCTCCCAGCCCAGCCCCACACTGGGGGCCACTGAGTCCATTCCTCTCCCTCTCCAGGCCTTGGTTTCCCCATGTGTACACTAGGAAGTTGGATATGGTAGTCCCATAGTGCCTGCCCATAACTCTGATCTTTTTCTGTCCCCAGATCGGGGCTGCGATAAGACCCGGTCCCGGGTGACTCTGCAGGAGTGGAATGACCCTCTCGACCATGACCTTGAGGCCCAACTTGTCTACCGGCACCTGCTGGGTGTGGAGGCCACACTGCGGTGAGGGGCCGTGCATCCCACACGGGAGAGCCAGTGCAACCCAGGGGTGTGTGCCAGACCAAGGGCTGGAGCTGGGATTCGAGCTTGGGGCTGCTCTGTGGCGCCTGGCTCCCCTCTTCTAATCAGGCCCAGCACCTTCCCACCATCACAGCCATGTCTGGGGAGGGCACCTGGACTGCTCTCTGCCACATGAGGCCAACTTAGGTTGGGACAGAGGCCCCGAGGGTCAGGGCCCTGGCTGCTTCCTGCCCTGGGCTGCCCAGCCTTCACGCCTGGCCATCTCTCTGAGTTCCTTGGCCATCTCGCTAACTCAGTGGTTCTCAGCCCTGTCTGCAGCTTATAAAAAACAGGATGCTTTTAGCAAACAGGATCTCTGGGCCCCATTAACTCAGAATCTGGGAGTGGAGCCCAGCCTCGGAAGTCTTTAAGATGGTCCCGTGCTTCCTGAGAGCTCGGCTTCCCCTGAGCCCACTCAGGAGGGGTCTTTTCTCTCCCACACTCCTTAGCCCTGGGCTAGCTGGGGGCAAGGTCTTCCTTGTTCCTCATTGACTCTTCCAGGGTTTATCCAAAAAACAGGATGCTTTTAGCAAACAGGATCTCTGGGCCCCATTAACTCAGAATCTGGGGGTGGAGCCCAGCCTTGGAAGTCTTTAAGATGGTCCCGTGCTTCCTGAGAGCTCGGCTTCCCCTGAGCCCACTCAGGAGGGGCTCTTTTCTCTCCCACACTCCTCAGCCCTGGGCTAGCTGGGGGCAAGGTCTTCCTTGTTCCTCATTGACTCTTCCAGGGTTTATCTCTTCCCTCAAAACCCTTCGAAGCTCTTGCTGTCCTGCTAGAAGCACCTGCTCCTTTGGAGCTGCGGTCACCAGCAGCCTCTGGCCACTCTGTGGCCACCTCTTCTCTGATGGTGTGACCTTGGCTCACTGCACCCCCCACCTCCGATGCCTACTCCTGTCCCCTTATTCAGTGATTTCATGCTCCACCTGGGGGGTGTGTGCACCATCCTGTGCTCTCTCCGTTCCACCCAGCCGGACCCTGACTCCCATGGCCACGCCCTAGAACTTGACCCTCCCCCCCCTTCTTCATTTGCTTCCATTTTAACTTCATGTGCAAACTCATTTAATATCTATAACCACTGAACCAGGCCAGTGCTCTTACTATGCCTACTTAAGCCAGAAAGTTGCAGAGTCAAATTTGAACCCAAGTCCCCTGGCTCCAGGGCCCGTGGCCCTAAACACCACACACGCTCCTTTGAGAACCCCTACCTCCAGAGCTGCTGCAGCCACCCCTCTTCCCACTGCAACTCACTTCCTCTGGATCCAACACCGACAGACCTTCCCACCTGCCAGCACCTCTAGTCCACTGACCCAGCCGCCTGTCCAGGGTCCCTGGCTGTTAGTTTCCTGTGGCTTCTCTAACAAATTACCACACGCTTGGTGGCTGAAAACAGCACAGATTTAGTCTCTTATAGTTCTGGAGGTCAAAAGTCCAAGATGGTTCTCACTGGGCTAAAGTCAAGGTGTTGGCAGGATGGATTCCTCCTGGTGGCTCTAGGGGAAAATCTGTTCCCTTGCCTTTTTCAGCTTCTGGGAGCCACTTAAATTCCTGGGCTCAGGGTCTCTTCCTCCATCTTTGAAGTGCATCATCTCAGCTTCTGTCTTTATGTCATCATCGTCGTCTCTGGCCTTCCTGCTTCCCTCTTGTAAGGACCCTTGTGATTATGTTTGTGGCCCCAGGTGTTCACATGCTCATTCTGATTCAAGTCTTTGCTCAAATGCCACCTTGCCAGAGAGGCCTTCCCTGACCACTGTCACTGTCAGACCACATGGGACGCATCGCCCTCTGGAGCTGTATAACCTGTGGTCTCATAGTTCATGTTGTTTACTTTTTTCCTGCCTGTCCCTTGACTATGTTGTGGGCACCACAAGGGCAGGACTCTGGTGTTCTCTGCTGTAATCCAGTGTTAAGGACAGGGCCTGGCATATTGCAGGCTCTCAGGACGTGTTGGGTGGGCAGAGAGTGGAGGGGAATGACATCTGAGCTGGTCTGTGAGGTTTGACAGGGTCTCACACAGGGCGAGGCAGGGAATGGTGTTCCAGGAAGGGGCAATGTGAAGAGAAACAGGAAAGGAAGCCGGGCGACCTGCTAGGAGGCATCCGAGGAGGAGGAGCCTGCAAGGTCTTAGCAGATGGACACGTCTCTCCCAAAACAGACCAGGGAGACAAAGGGCTGAGCTAGGAGAATTCCTAAATAAGGAACTTCAAGCATGAGATCCACCTGGCTGCTCATCCTCCCTCTGTGTAAACACACAGAATGGTACCTGAAAGCGCCGGGATCTTTGGTGGACCCCACTAGGAGCTTAGAAGGTCACTGTCTCCTATCCCATAAGAAGGAATTTCATTCCATGGCCAGTTAATACTAGGGGACTTTGAGGCCCCAATTGGCTATTTTCCCACGAGCCCTGCAAAATAGGAGTGACGTGGTTGGAGCATGGTTTGCAAAGGGCCTTCTGGTTGACCCACAGTGATGGATGAGGAGGAGCAGAGGCGGTGGCTGGAAGGGTGAAAGTGGAAGGTGACCAGGGTTCAAGACTTGGGCCATGTCTCTTCCTCATAGATTGGGAGAGCCAGCCCCCAGAGCCACCTCCAGCTCAGGAGGCCCATTGGGCCACCAAGCCTTCTCAGCAAGGGTACCAGGAGCCCTGGCAGGGTGGGTTGTAGCCACTGGCCCTCACTCTGTCCTCCCCCACAGGGAGAAGCATCGGGAACTCAGTGGGGGCACAGAGGCAGGCACTGTGCCTGAGGACCCTGGTGAAGGTAGGTCCCTCCCACTTGGGACTCCCTCAGTGGCCTGAGCCCCCTTCAGAGATGGATGGGTGGGGGGTCCTCAGGCCCACTCCCTGGGGCCTCCTGGCCTTCGAGGCCCTGCCTGCTGCCCTCATGGCCACATCTGCCTCCAGCCCCCAAGGACTCACTGGCCCAGCTGCTCCAGGTGCTGCAGGACCTCCGCGAGGCCCATAGCTCCAGCTCGGCCAGCCTCCTGCCCTCAGAGCCCAACTGCCTCCTAGAGCTGCAGACGTGAGACCTGACGCACACTCCCATGCTGAGCTCCCTGCCAGGTGCTTGGAGACCCCCAATGCACTCTGGGCCTTCACTCCAGCCCCCTCACTGGGGTGCAGAACCTAGGTCTTTCCTGGGTGGAGGGAGTGGGGGTATCCAGCAGCATGGGGTTCCAGATGTCCGTAGCTGACAAGGCTTTGGCCCATTGTGGCCAACCTGAAGTCTTTAGTGGACTTAGGTGGCTCCCGCTCCTCTGTGAGGCCTGGCTGTGCCCTGCAGCTCCTGCAGCTGTCCCTGCCTCTAGCCGTGACTCTCCAGGGACTCTCCTCTTCTGCTGAGGACAGATCCAGCCAGAAACCACCCCTAGGGAGGTCCATGCCCAGGTGGGCCGGCCTCCTGGGCCCCAAGAGCAGGCTTCCACCCGAACACCCCCTCACTCCCGGCTACCACCCCACATGCTCCCTTCACGGCCTCTTCCTGTGTCCCTTGGGTGGGGCACTGTGGTGCTCTGCTGCTGACAGTAAACCTGCTGTGACTGCCAAGGCTCTGGGGTCTTGTGATGGGGGTCCAGGGAGAGAGTGGGCCCAGGGGGACTCCAGAGGCTGCTGGTGCGTGTGGCCAAGGACAGGGCACCAGCAGAGCCTCTGTGCATCCCCAACCCCACTTATTTGCTTCCCCCCATATCTGGGGCCAGGAGCTCCTTTCTCCTTGGCCGCTGTTCCCACCACATTCCTGGGTCCCACCCCTCCATCCTGCACAGGCTATGGAGCCCAACAGGTCTTACCAGCTGTTCTTTCCTTGAAGCAACCTCCAAACCAGCCCCTTGTCCTGAAGACTGCACAGCAGGGGTGGGTTCAGAACCTGGTCCCAGCAGCATTCTTCCCCACCCCCCATACTCATGACAGGTTGCCGTCGCCCCAGCTGAGGCTGTATGGGCTGGCAGCGTGGGCCTTACTGGGGGTCCCAGCCCCCCACTGTGTGTCCTGATGGGCTGCCAAGCTGAGCTCCCAGCTGCATCCACACTGACTTGGCTCTGGGTGGGGAGAAGGCCCTGAACCCCACCCCCCACCTGTCATGAGGCCTTCAGCCCCTGCTTGGTGCCAGATCCCGAAGCTCCACCGGGTTTGGAGCAAGATGAACAGCCCCAGGCTGGTTCTGCTGTTGGCAAGGCTTGAATCCAATCCACTTCCCTTGTCTTAGGGCAGAGTCCCTGGCATCCTGGGAGCCAGTCGGTGTGTCCTTGATCTGTTCCTCTGAGGCCCCAGCTCCCTCTCCCATGCGGCTGCCCACCAAGCCCTGACCCCTGTCCAAGAGGAGCCTGTGAGGCAATGATGCCTGGTCACTGAATCACATGGCTGAATTGGTCCTGGGGTGGCTGGAGCAACAGGGGGTGGGGGCGGGGCTCCTGTCACCTCCTTGCCCCGCCCCAGGCCACGTGTAGTGCCAGCTCCCATGGCTGGCCTGCTATATGGGCCACCGGCGTCCACTACTGCAGACAGCTCAGGTGTGGGGTAAGTGGAGGCTTTGTGCCTGGCAAGGACACAGAAGCCCCCGAGGCCTCCACCTCCTCGCCCCTGTCCTGGCTACTCCCCACTGTAGAGCCTCCACTCCCAGCCCCGGCACTCACTGGCTTCAGTCTCACCCATAAAAACAGCAGCTAATAGACATGGCTCACCTCCAGGTGGACACCACTCTAATGTACCTGCATCGATTAATTTATTCCTCATCTGTTATCACACTATGACCTCCATTTTTTTTTTTTTTTTAGCTTTTGGGAACCTAAGGCAAGCATAGTAATTTACCCAAGATCAGTAAACTAGGACACATGGAGGCAGATATTGGTCTTTAAACGTAGGCATCCAGCTCCGAATTCACACGGGTCCTTTAAAATCACATTCAATCATAAGAACTCTATTGGCTGGCCAGTTAGCTTGGTTGGTTAGAGTACAGCCTTGTAACACCAAGGTCATGGGTTTGGATCCCCACACCGGCCAGCCTTCCAAAACAAAAAAAAAAGGAAATGGTAACTCTGTAGATTAAAAGAGAGTTGAGATCTTAGAACTAGATAGTGATGATGTTTGCACATCCCAAGTGTTATTAATGCCACAGCACTTAAAAATGGTTAAAATAGCAAATTTTATGTTCTGTGTATTTTACAACAATAAAAAAATAGACTTAAGAGACTTACAGCAACCAGTTGCAACAAAAAATGTTGAGAAATATTTCTGTGAGACAATTGGAAATTTGAACACTGATCGACTAACGATGATAGTAACGATTGCTAATTTTTAAAGATGTGATAAGATATCACAATCGTGAGTGTTTTAAGAGTCCTTATTTTTCAGAGATGCATACTAGAATATTCATGAATATATATGACAGGAGTGTGTGCGGTTTGCTTCAGAATAACCCAGAGGTGGGGGTGGGGGATGGAGGTAGAGATGAGGCTGGCCACGAGTTGCTTATTGTTGAAGTGGAGGTAATGAGTATGTGGGGGTTCACGATACATACGTCTGCCTTTGTGTATCTTTGAACTTTTCTGGAATACAAATTTTGAGTGCACATGCCCTGGTGACACATGCCCAGAGACTAAACTACTACAAACCTTTAGCCAGCGAGGCCCAGGGTCTGCATTTGAACACGTCCCTTGCACCTCTGCACCCTGAATTTGGAGAGCCCAGATCAGAGGGGCCCTGGGTCTTGCTGACTTGTGCTGGTCCCCTCAGCTGAAGCTGGCTCCCTCTGGTAATCACCTCGCCATCCTCGACCCAGTGTCTCAGCACATGGTAAACTCCAGTGTAATTAACAAGAGAGGGGGAGGGGCAGAGTCTTCCAGCACCTTCTTAAAACTCTCATCCAGCTAAGCTCTGGGCCCACTACCCTGTGCATCCTAGGTCCATGTTCGGGGGCAGGGCCAGCTGGGCAGGCTGCATACATGGCTCTTCCAGGGACACTTTAGAAAAGCAAAGGGGATGAAGGAGCAGGGGGCTGCCCCCTTCCCTCTGCCCTATGGCTTTGGGGGCCATATTGACCTTTTCTCCTGGCTACGGCCTTGATGGTGGGGAGCATCCCCCACAAGCATCCCACCACCTGACCCCTTGGATGTTCGTTGCCTCTTAGCCTTGATACTAGCATCCTATGGGCCTCATGTGCCTTTTTCTAGGGCTAGGGCCCTCCCCTCCTTCCTGGCCCAAGGTTTGGGTCCGGGGGTGGCTGAGCCTATTGTACCCTCCACCCCTCCCCAAATCACCAACATGTGGTTCTCTGGCTACTTCCTTATGGTCTCACAAAAATCCTCATGCCTGTTGGATCTTATTGGGTTTCAAGGACCTAATGCTCAGGAAGTATGGACCTCAGGGTCTACTGAGCCCTCATGCAAGGAGAGAAGGGGGACAGAGGTGTGGACTCATTGGGGCTGCAGTAGTACAACCCTGGGTTCTGACTGCACACACACAGCCACCCTCCAGGTGACATCTATCATGCCTCTCGTGGATCCTGGCATAGGTGTGGCTGTTTCAGCCAGAAGGGGAGTTAACCTGAGCATGTGCCTGGAGCTGCCCCCAGTTCTCTCAGGCCCTGAAGTGAACTGCCTACATCCCAGGATACCATATTATTTTTGGAAGCTACCTGGAAAAGGGAGAGGAACAGGAGATCCCTGCCTGCCTGTTGGTTGGGAAGGTGCTGGAGGTCACCCCCTGCTCCCCCTGGGATTTCCAAGCCTGTTATTCAACTGGGACCTGGGGCAGGTCCCCTGATGTCTTGAGGATCTGATTGATCCCCAGATGGAGGTCTGCAGCCCAGGGGGCTGGCATTCACAGGCAGATGCCCCGGGAAGCCCTGAGTGGGCTCAACCTACATGGTACCTGCTTCTCTCATCCTCCGGGCCTGTCCCTTAGGAAATCTGAGCAGGTTTGTACCAGCCACCTTCTGGCAAAGTCTTGTCAAAGTAGAATTTTCAAATACATAATAAAAGTTACTCCTTTACAAATGTAGAATGAACACTCATCACAAGATCTATTATGACACATCGGTGAGGAAACCAGTGGATTGGGAAAGCTGATTCATAGAGCATTTTAAGGAGCTGGTTTTCGTAAGCATTCTAAGAATGCTAGAATGTTAGATGTGATGTTAGATACAAAACTGGTTAATGGAGTTTTCTTCTTTGTGGGATAGAAACCTACAAGTTAATGAGTAACTTCAGTGTCTGGGCTCAAATCGAACAATATATAGCAATGTCAAACACAGGCACAGTCCCCAAGATTAGATTTGCCTGTAAAGGGCCAGGCACGCAGGTCTCAGCCACAACTACTGTGCTGTGTATCACAAAAGCAGCCACTGACACTGCATAAACAAGTGGGCATGGTGTATTCCACTAATATTTTCACAAGAACAGGCAGCAGGCTGGGTTTGGTCTGCAGGCCCCCCGTGGTTTGCCGACCTCTGCTCTGGATAATTAAATAACCCTTGGTGAGGCCTGTTCAACAATGTTTCCAGTATGACATTGACAGAACATGCCACACAGTCCTCCTTCACCTTATTTACAAATAGATAATTTTTCTTAGCACCCTGTGTTCCAGCAGCTGCTTCCACTATTGTGCCTACCTGTCTCCCTTAGTCTTATGAGAGGCTGGGAATGGTCACTTGGCCTCCGCTTGGGGAACCCCAACATTGAGCTGCTGAAGACTCTTTGCAGGCTGATAACTTCTGGAGTCCAGGATCTCATCTTTGGGAATCAAAGAGCAAGTGTCGTCAGAACTCCCCAAGAGAGAACAGACTTCCACAGTGGCAGGGACGGTGAAGCCCTTGGTGGGTAAAAACCCTCTCCCCACTCTAACCCTAGCCCAGTTAAGAGTGCCCAGCCTCATCACCTCCGGGGCCCTGCTGTCCTGGTAAAGGCAGTATTCTTGACCCAAACTTTTTCACAGTGACCCAGAAGGATGGAGGTTGCAGCCTCAGGGAATCATTATGCTTCTGGCCTATTCCTCACCAGTTAGAGGCCCCCACCCACTTGGCCTGGAGAGTCAAGGTTCTGTGGGGGGCTCCAGCAGAGTGACATTTCCTCACCCTAGTGCTTGAGGGCTCAAGTAGGAAATGGTCCTTCCCAGGAAGTACTGGTGGAAGCTCCAGCTTCCTTTGGGGGCTCCATAACTGCTGCCTAGCCTGGGAGAAGCCAGTAGCTAATCTGAGACCCCAGTCCTTGTTGCTTCAGACAACCCAGGTAGGGCCTTTAGGCTACACCGCAGTCTGCAAAATATCAATCCGAACAGGGCATGATACACTAATCCCTCGGAGCTCCTCTCTGACACCTGTATACACCTGCTTCTCCCCCAACCCTCACCCACTGTCTCCGCTAACAAGAAGCTAGTGGCCACCCAGGCAGGGGTCTTGCAGCAGTCAGGGGTCAGGCAGCCTTGGCAGGGACTTATCCATATACACTCCTCTGGCGTTGAGACCTTCTTCATCTCCCCAACTGCCGCCCACCACAAGTGCCCATCACCCTCATGACTCCATGCTCAACTCAGGACCTCTTGCTGGGTACTGCAAATGCACATTTCCAAAAAGAGGTCAAGGGACGTGGGGAGCGGAGAGAGGCACAGCTCGGGGTCCCCGCTCAGCCTGGACGAGGCTGTCTCGGTAGGGGCAGAGCATCCCTCCCAGCGCCGAGCATGCGCCAGCGCGCGCCCACGGGTGAACGCGCCGTCCAAGCTGATGCATGCCCAGAGCCGCCGGCCGCCCGGGCTTTTCTCGCGCCTGCGTAAGGTCCTCCCGCCCGAAAGGGGGCGGTGAGCCGGTCCTTACACCGGGGACGGGGTGACCACCGGCGTAACCCGGAAGAGTTCGCCTTGTAGGGCTGGGGAGGAGGTGGGGGCGGCCACTTCGGGTCTGGACGCTGCCGTGGCGCTAGGATGAACGCCCCTCCCGCCTTCGAATCGTTCTTGCTCTTCGAGGGCGAGAAGAAGTGAGTGGGGCCTCCGGGACGGGGGCGGGCGGCGGCCTCGGCTCCTGTGGGCTCTGGCGGTCCTCCCGCCCGTGCTCGCGGGGGACGCAAGCAGCTTTTGCTCGAGCGTTTGCTAGGCCTGTGTGTGCCGCACTTAAGGCAATCCAGCGGGGCAGTGGCGAGTGTGCCCATTTTGCAGGTGAAGACACTGAGGCTCAGAGCAGTTGAGTAACTTGATCCAGAGACGCTGGAAATGGCGGGGCCTCTATTCGAACCCAGTGTCTGACTCCAAAATCCTTTTCTTCTGGGGTCTGGCGGCCTCCTCCCTTGTCTCCCGGCCTGTCACCTCCATCCTCCGTGAGACAGCCAGAGTGATGACTCTAGAGCTCATATCCAATCCGCCTTGATCCGACTGGCCTGTGTAAAACCAGCAGTGACCCCTCGTGCCTGCAGGTTGAAGGAATCCAGTGGTCCAGACAGCCTGGCCTTGGCTCCTTGTTCCCTCACTTAACAACTCTATCTTTGGGCAAGAGATTTGATCTGAGGCCCAGTTTCCTCATCTGGAAAATGGGCTTAGTATTACTGTATTTAATCATAGGGTTTTCTCTGAGAGATTAAATGAGTTAATTTGTATAAAGTGCTCATCCAGGGCTTATCACGTGAACACCTCGTAAACATTGGCTTTTCTTATTCTTAACAGCCTGGTATGCAGGGTTCTATAGTCTGGCCCTTGCCAGCCACTTCAGCCTCTTTTTAGAGCAAAGACTCTCAACTGGGGACCATATTGCCCCCCAGGGGACATTTGGCAATATCTGGAAAGTTTTGGTTGTCACAAGAGGGTTGCTACTGGCGTCCAGTGGGTAGAGGCTCGGGATGCTGCTAATGTCCTACAGTGTACAAGACAGCTCCCCATAGGAAATAACTGTCAGGCCTAAAATGTCAACGGTGCCATGGTTGAGAAACTGTTAGAAGAAAGGAGCAATCCACAGTAGGCGAGGGTTCCACAGTCAAGGGTAGGTGGGGTCAGTGCATAGACACTGTGCTGCTCTGTGTCAGAGAGCTCTTCGTGGGATGAAGAGATTAAGAAAGGCTTTCAGGAGGAGGGAGGGATCCCAAGGGAGCCCCTGCCCCTCATCTGCTGCCTCTGCCTCTTCCTAGGATCACCATTAACAATGTGCTGCTCTGTGTCAGAGAGCTCTTCGTGGGATGAAGAGATTAAGAAAGGCTTTCAGGAGGAGGGAGGGAGCCCAAGGGAGCCCCTGCCCCTCATCTGCTGCCTCTGCCTCTTCCTAGGATCACCATTAACAAGGACACCAAGGTACCCAATGCCTGTTTGTTCACCATCAACAAAGAAGACCACACACTAGGAAACATCATTAAATCGTAAGTTCCAGGGTAAAGGCTCTCAGGGGCTGTGTTGGATGGGGCTCTTTGGGGACAAAGCACACATTCCATAAGATTTTCTTCAGCCTCTCTGAGCTACAGGAAGTCCTTCTGGGTGCTTGCTGTGGCATTTCACAATTCCAGTACCCTTTTTTCAAAATGACGCCGACCCATATTGTTCACGTAAGCCACATTTCTGTGTTGGCTTAATTATCTGACTGCAGTGAATGTGCAGCAAGCCACAGAGAAGCAGACTACTTTTGTTTTCATGCTAATGAGCATTAAGAAGCAGTCAGGATTAGCTCCCCCCACACCACCCCTATTTGTGACAGTGACCTCAGTCACACCTGGCACTCTAAGGTTTATGTGGCAGAGATTGTAACCTCCATTGAATAAGGGAAAGGGGAAGATGCATGCTATGGTATCCAGTGCCCCTGGTGGGGTACCTAACATTGGTTGATGGGTGTCTGTTCACAGCAGTGAAGTCCTAGCCAGGTAGGTGGTCTGGGATTTGATTACTAGTCTGGTCCAGGGATGTGTCATTTCACTGCAGAAACTTGACTCCCCTCTGGTACCAGCAGTGAAGTCAGGCCTTTCGCAGGCCTGCATGTTTGAGGCTGTGGGCAGGAGCCTGCCTGATCTCCTGGTGCAATAGGGTGTGAGGATGCCCATCTTTCTGCCTGGATGACTCCTGCCCTGAGCCAAGCCAGCAGTGCACCTGGCTCTTCCGTGGCCCTGCTGCTCCTCTGCTGTGTAAGCCCAGTGGCCCCACTCTGCAAAGGCCCTCCCTCCTGGTGTGCAGACTCGACTCTGAGCTGCTGTAGGCAAGAGCACAGTACTGGGGCAGCCTCCACTGGCAGGGCCTTGTGTGTAAGAACAGCAGCTGTGCTGCCCAGAGGGCTTCCATTTCCATCTCACTAACTGCTTAGAGCCTGTACCCTCTCCTTGCTGCCTTTATTTGCTGTGCAGAAGCTCATTTTTGGCTGGGAACAGGACTTTTGTATTCTGGTTTACTGAACACTGGCTGGATGTTTACTCCTTTGGGAGGTCTCTTTGCTGAGATGGCAGTGTCCCTGACTTCCTCTGAGGGAAGAGGTTGCTGGAAACCCTCTTTCCTAGCTAGGGTCCTCAATCCCCATGGATGCAAGTTGTGTGTGTATGAGGGTGCCCCACAGGATATATCTTCTTGAAAGTGTGTTTTACTTGAAGATTTTTGGAAAAAGAACATCCCTTGTCTAGAAAGCTTGGTAAGCCGTGAGCTGGGGGCTGCCTGGCAGCCTTGAGGCCTGGCTTGGGCTGGAGCCCCAGGACACTGGGCTCAGCCTTCCTCACACTGTCCATCCTGTATCTCAGGCAGCTGTTGAAGGACCCACAGGTGCTATTTGCTGGCTACAAAGTCCCCCACCCCTTGGAGCACAAGATCATCATCCGTGTGCAGACCACACCAGACTACAGCCCCCAGGAGGCCTTCACCAATGCCATCACAGACCTCATCAGTGAGCTCTCTCTGTTGGAGGAGCGCTTCCGGGTGAGAAGCCCGGCATGCAGGGTGGGCAGGCCTGTGCCCCCACCTAGGATGGCCCCTGGGTGGTTTCCTCAGAGGTGTCTGTGGGGAGGGACAGTGGCAGTAACAGAGCAGGGATGTCCACTGCAGCCTCCAGAAAGTGTGGGCTAAGGGGCCATGGAGCTGAGGCCTGTGGCCTGCTGTCTGCCCTATGCATGGGAATCATACCTAGTGTCCCAGAGTCTCTCCTTGTGCACTCTTGCAGTCCTTATGGAAGCAGGGGACCTACTGCCTTTTGGGGCTGGCTCTTCCATGTCTCTCCTCTGTGGTGCTGGCTGCTCTGTGGTTTGTCAAGCCTGGAACTTCCGGGCATTTGTCTGTCTAGCAGGCAGCTCACCCCAGGTTGGGGTCACACCTGTTCCTGGCAGGACACCTCAGTGTTCAGAACAATTTAGAGTGGGAAAGAGCCAGAGTGTGAGATTTTCAAACTGTGTCTAAGTTGTATGCCCATCAGGAAGCAACTCTGCTCCACTGACTTCATTCCCACGCAGCAGCCGGGTGCTGCAGAGGATGGGTGGTTAGGCCAGCTCAGAGGGGCCCTTCGGCTATGGCTGCCCAACTCCCTGGAGCTGTTTGGGGCCTGGGGAGTGGGAGTGTAGCCAATGGCTGCCCTTTGGAGGAAGCCCATACCAGCAGTTTCCTGGCGGACACTGGTCAGGGGATGCTTGGGTTGCACTTACCAGCGCCCTTGCCCCAGTCATTCCAGCTGAGTTGCTGCTTTCCCCCTTTCCTCCAGGTGGCCATCAAAGACAAGCAAGAAGGAATTGAATAATGGGCTGGAAGGAGTCCTGCTTGGCCTGTGAGCCCAGTTCCTACCTGCACCAGGACCTCCTCCACAGGCACCAAGCAGAGACAGCGGCCAGTCCCAGCTGTAGCCCTCCTTGTAGCTATCCCAGCGCGCCCCCGACACTCTGTCCCGTACAGAGTCTATTTTATCTTCCTAATAAAGTATGGCAAGAAGAGACCTGAATGTGAGCTTAAGCCAAGATGACTTCAGAAGCAGATGAACTATCAGGCTCAGAGGAGGCAGATGACCCGTCTCAGAGGCCCTCTGGGGCCACATTTCAAAGAGTGGATTCGCCTAGAGACCCTGATTTCTGTGTGAGAGGTTGGCAGGGACAAACTCATTCTGGACCCAAACTAAGGAACCTGGGGGGCTACAGGGGAGGCAGTCTCGAGCAGAAGGGAATTGAGAAAACCCAGATGCTTCCATGAGTCTCTGTTCTAGAAGCCTCAGCTGCCAAATCTGCCTTTCTTAAACTAGAAACACAGGATGGGACCCGTGTAACCATAAACAGCTCTCCCCAGGCATTGTGTCCACAGTAGAGAGTTTAATAAAAATATCCACATAGAAAGACCCACCGTTAGCCCAGAAGCTGAATAAGTTAAGCTATGTCCCTGGAACTGCAATGAAGGCAGGAGCTCCTGCTTGAGCTAAGGTCTTTTCCAAATGGCTACAATGTTGGAGTCCGTCAGAGCGGTGAGGTAGGTAAAGGTGGGGTTGGCCACCACTGTGTTCACCATGGTCTTGGTCACCGTCTGGCCAAGGGCCCAGGGCTGGGGCCACTTGAGGATCTGGTGGGAAGAGAGAGGGGGCTGGGCTCCTGCTTCCCAGGGACCAGGCAGGGGGAGGAGTGAGCTGCACAGTACCTGTGTGGGGGCCTGCGGGGCTGCCGGCAGTGGAGGCGGCTGCTTCAGGATGTGTCTGACATCGTAGATCCACACGTTGCCCTCCTCGTCCCCACAGAGCACGATTCCCTCATCTGCCACAACAGGGGGGAGCCTAAGGTGGGGCAGGCGGTGGGGCAGGCGGTGGGGCAGAGCTCAAAGAGGTGGAGAGTGGGATGGGGCAGGTGGGCTCACCAGCGCAGGTGCTGAGTGAGAAGTAGGCCAGCTTGGTGGGTGACCACTGCAGGTGAGCCAGGACAACCACTGCCACCGTGGACTGGCTGCCCCGGCCTGCCCATGTCTGGCTCCAGCTCCACAGGCAGATGGTGCCCAGGCCATTCCCCTTGGAAGCTGCAGGGGAGAAGGGAGAACTGTGCATGGGTGGTCCTGTCCTCCCCAGACACCACCTTTTCCATACTGGAGATGCTGCAGAAGCCCTCAGACCTAAACACCAGCCCAGGGAAGTGCGACTCATCTGGGTCCCAGGAGGCCAGGCTGTCTCGAGCTGGGCTCACCCACAACATCCTTGTTCACAAATGCCAGTCCATCCACTCTCCGTCCAGAAGCCTCGGAGCCCTCGGAGAAGACAAACTCAACCTCACACATCCTGCGGGCAGCAGAAGACACCAGTCACATATCCCTTGCATGTACAAAGAACTGCTCATTCATTCAGACATCTCCTAGGCACCTGCTACAGGCTCTGCCCTGTGTTAAAAGGTTGGAAGGAGCAACCAAGAAGATATGTTCTTGGCCCCAGAGAGGTTCAGCTTTGCCCTTGAAGGGGAAGCCAGTGGCCAAGTCTCCTGAGTCAGACGTGGTGGGAACCTAGATATGCGTAGGGCCGATTCTTCCAGGATGGGTGTGGGTGATCAGGGTCTGGAGAGAGATGGTGCCCCCAGGACCAAGTGTGACACGAGCAGTTCAGGTGGCCATGTAGGGTGGGTGCTTCCGGGCCTTGTGCTGGGGCCCTGGGGGTGTGTGAAGGGGATTTGCTCTGACTCCAAGGACAGTGGTGAGTGGCTGCTGAATATTTCAAAGCTGAGAGTGTGTGTATGCGCTCTCATCTGTGCTTGGAAAGGCCACCAGCAGCTGCCCATTGTCTTGGAGAGGCCAGCCTGGAGGCAAGGCAGCTGCAGAGGGGATGGGGGAGAAAGGCCAAGAGACTTGGAGACCAGCAGACATGGGCAAGGAGGAAGGAAGGGAGAAGATAGGCCCAGCAGTAACTCGCAGATGTGCCAGGGATGAGAGAAGCCCATGGCCACGACTGACATGTGGCTGGACACCAGCACAGCCTCTACTGAGGCTTCCGCTGCTCCCCTGCATGCTGTGGTACTTTGCCCCCGCCACCCATGCTGACGTTCCTCCTGGGCTGTTCACTGTATTTAGGGTGAAATTCAAAATCTTACCATGGCCAACAAAGCCCAGTGCACCCTGGCCCCAGCAACCTCACCACTCACTCTGGGCCACTTCCACCTGTTTTGCTAAGCTGTGGCCAAGGGTGCATGGTTGGCCAGCTCTCCCCACCACTGGCCCTTTGCATGTGTGGTTCCTCTGCACTAGCACCTCCCCTCTCTGCCTGGCTGAATCATTCGTAGGGCTTGAGGTGGGGGTGGGGGTGTGCATGAGCCTGAGAGCCGATCCGTCTGCCACTGGTCACCTCAGCAGAGTCTGTTACTCTTTTCTTTGTAGCTGCTGTCACACTGTGGGGTTTTAATTGGCTATCTTTGCCGAATGCCTGTCTTCCCTGCTAGTCTGTGGGCCCCAGAGGGCAGGGACCCTGTGCTGAGCACAGTCTCAGGGCTTTCCAGGTGGTACAGGTGAGCCACAGGGCCTGCATGGCAGTTCCAGAGCCTCCTCCCTGCCCAGAGACCATCTCATTTGCCCTCCACTAGTGTGGGACTAAAATCACAATCCCCTCTTTACACACGAGTACATTACACTAGGTCAGAGAATGTCAAGGTGAGCCACAGGGCCTGCATGGCAGTTCCAGAGCCTCCTCCCTGCCCAGAGACCATCTCATTTGCCCTCCACTAGTGCGGGACTAAAATCACAATCCCCTCTTTACACACGAGTACATTACACTAGGTCAGAGAATGTCACATTGCTGATGAGTAATAGGATCTGGGCTCAACCACTGGTCTCACTGTGATGCTAAAGCCCCAAGTAAAGGGCCGGCCCGGTGGCGCGCTCGGTAGAGTGCGGCGCTTGGGAGTGCAGACGCGCTCCCGCCGAGGGTTCGGATCCCATATAGAGACTGGTCCGCTCACTGGTTGAGCGTGGTGCGGGCGCGACACCAAGGGTTGCGATCCCGTTGCTGGTCGCGGTACGGGCGTGACACCGAGGGTTGCAATCCCGTTACCGGTCACAAAAAAAGACAAAAAGGAAAAAAAAAAAAAAAAAAAAGCCCCAAGTAAAGGTGAGATCACAGTCCAATCCCACAGCTCACCACCAGGGAGGAAGGCATCATGGGGTCTTATCCTCGAGAGCCTAGCAGGAGGTAGGGAAAGGACAGCTCTGCCTGTGGCTGCCCAGGGCAGGGGGTGTGGTATGCTTGGGCTGACAGAGCCCACTGGGCCTGACAGCAGCCTAGCTCCACAGTCTGGCTTCTGTAGCATCCCCCCGGCCTCACCTCCTCTTCTGGGGCTGGTCCAGCCGCACGTCCCAGCAGCAGCAGCCACCCTCACAGCCAGCCAGCAGGTAGGCGTCTGGGCAGGAGGCGACGGGGCAGAGGCGCAGGGGGATGGAGGTGGTATCGAGCGTGAGCAGCTGGCTGCAGTGGGTGAGTGGGAGCACATGAGCCCACGGATCCGGGCATCCACCTGCCCAGCTTCTGGCCCCTCCCCAGCCCTGGCCAACGCATCACCTGGCCTGGAATTCGTAGTCGTGGTTGGGCACCCCAATGTCCCAGAGGATGATCCGCTTGTCATAGGAGGCCGCTGAGGAGGGGTGGGGAAGGGGAGAGGTGGCCCTGAGGAGGCCCTGCATCCTCCTGCAGGCTGCATCTCAGACCCAGACTGGGGTCCTGAGGCCAGCCCCTCCGAGGCAGGGAGACAGGAAGACTCCGGGGCCCACAATCTGCATTTTGCTCTAGGCTAACGTGCAGCAACCATCTTTGCAGCTCATACACCACCCTTGTTGGGTTCACCACACCTGGAGGACCAGGGGTATCCACCCATGTCACTTAAACAGGGGAACAGGGTGGCCCAGGTTGTCAGAAACCCCTAAGGTCACAGAGCTGGCTGGGGATAAAGCCAGGATCCAAACCCAGTCAGTTGACCAAAAAGCTGCATCACTTCCTACCAAATCCAGAGCTGAACAAAGGCCTGGACGGGGACCCCTGCAGCTGCCTGAGCTCCTTACCATCCCAGGGAGGGGAGTGCAGAGGCCATCAGGGTGGCAGGACATGGGTGCTTGGGTATCCCCAGGAGTGTGGGGAGAGGGTCTTACTGAACAGATGGGTCTCGTGGGTGGGGCTGAAGCAGAGGGTGGCAATGGCCTTCTTATGGGCCCGGATGACCCCGCAGCAAAAGCCGGCACGCACATGTAGCAGACGAACCAGGCCCCGCAGGCCTGCGACTGCCAGCACACTCCAACGCTTCTTGTGGCCTGCCTGTGTGACTACCATCAGGGCTGTCCATGCCACTGAGAAGAACTCCTGTGGAGGGAGTGAGGGAGGTGGTCCTGGGGCAGAGCTACTGGTATGAACATGCACGCAGGACTGGGCCTGGGGAAGTGAGGCCCAGCATAGATGGGAAAGGTCACGGTGAAGAGGTGGTCGAGCCTGGACCCCCAATGCCAGCACCCCTGATCCTGCAGCCAGCCTACCCCCCTGTGGGAACAGGGCCCTGGCACTCACCTCACCAGGTGCCTTGTACTTGTGGAGTACAATGCCCGTCTGGCAGTCTATCACACAAACGGCCTCCCCACCACACGTGGCCACGGTCTGGGATGTGGCCCCTAAGCGCCCTGTTTTGAGGGGGTCAACTGAGTGAAAACTTTTTCTGCAAAGTTCCTCCGTGAAGCTCCCTCCTCCCAGCCTGGACACCATCTTTTCAGCTGCGCCTCTTCTGAGTCCCCATCCCTCCAGGCTTCCCCCTTTGTTTTCTGAGACCCTCCCTGTCCCACAGCCCTGCCTGCCCACAAGGATGTACCCTCGTCCCAGGCTGGCTCGAAGGCACAGGCCCACAGCTGGGTCTCGAGGTCCCGAGGGCTGTTGTTCTTGCTGTGGCACTGCAGGAAGTGCAGGGGCTCTAGCTGCAGGGCAGGCTGTGGGGGCAAAGTGGGGTCAGAGCTGCCCCAGCCCTGGCACACCCAACACACACTCCCTGCCACTTCACCAGCTTACCTGGCTGCCATCAGAGCTCACGGGGCTGCCCTCCATCTGGGCCAAAGGGGAGGCACACACCCGCTTATTGGGAGAGAGGTTGAGCGGGGTATCGGCTGGCCGTTTCAAGACCACCAGCTTGGCCTGTGGAGGGTGCCTTGTGACTGTGTGCCCATCTGTGTGGGCTTCCTTCCTCCCCATTGCAGGCTGGACTGCGCCTTCCCATGGTACAGGAGGTAGGGGCTGGTCTGGGGTCGCAAAGGGAGCTAGCTTGGGCATCAGCAACTATTTCCTGTGCCCATTTCCAGGACCTCCTGCTTTTCTGCAGCTTCCCCAGGCAGAAAGAGCCAAGGCAGGCGGGCCCTGGGAGCCATAAAGAGGTGTACTCACCTGAGGCCTGCAGGCAGCTGTGGCTTCTGTGGGCCCCACTGGGTTGTCTGCCTCATACACTTGGGTCCCACCGGAGGCCACCAGCTCCTCAGAGATCATCCGCACCTAGGTGGGGCCAGGATATCAGGCTGCTGAGCAAGGACCTGGGTGCCCCCAGCCCCTCTCCGGATGCCTGGTCAGATGGAGCTTGTGCTTCCTGAGTTGGAAGAAGACAGCTCCAGCCAACAGGGCTGCCTTCCCTGACCCACCCCACTCCCCAGAAATCTCCAGGTCAGCTGAGGCCCATGGGAGCTGACTCCAAGCACAGTGGGATGAAGACATACCCGCCACTGGGTGAACTCGCTGAGGGACTCGGGCCCATAGTGGACGTCTCTGACGGCAGACCTCACGAAGTCCGCCTGGGCCTTCTCAGCCTCCTCTTCAGGGCCCAGTGCGGCCATGAACTTCTCCCAATGAGCTGTGACCTGGTGTGAGAGGGACCAGATCCAGGACCAGCCCACATCAGCTCTCCTGGACCTCTGCCCCCAATCTCCTCATGGTCACAGGTATCTCAACCTCACCACCTGTTGGAAGCCTCCAGAACCACAGCTTCTTATCTGCACAACCTGAGCCATACACACACATCAGAAAAACTTAGCACAAAGTTACTCTGACAAGTATCTCAGCCTCCCTCTCTGTGCCCTGCCTGCACACCTGGAGGGCAGGAACCCCCAAGGACAGAGAAGGAAACACCACAGCCACACTTAGAATACACAGCAGGCAAAGAGCCCCTAGCCCCCTCCTCAATGTCCTCCAAATGTCCCATTCTGTCACTCCCTCCTTAGTGCCCCTACTGCTCCAAGCACACCTCAAACTTCCCATCCTCCTTACTCTGTTGATCAGCTCCCGGTTCAGGTTCTCCACCTGAGAGCACGTTGTGGACGCATCCTTGCCATTGACCTTACGGAGCTTAGGCAGGAGAAAGGAGACCTTCAGTTTATCGCTGACCTGGGAGATGAAGGAATAGTGTGGCTCAGGGGCTACTGAGCCTGAGCCCAACAGAATCCTGGCTCCAGGCAAGGGACTGGGGAAGGGAGAGGAGTTCCCACTCACTGTCAGGAAGGGGTTGCCTTCCAGGCTGAGCTCCTCCAGCTGCGGGAACTGGCACAAGGCGGTGACGTCCCCCAGCTGGTTGTTGGCGCAGCGGAGGATGCGCAGATGCGATAGGCCCAGGTCAGCGGGCAGCGTGTCCAGCTGGTTGTTGGAGAGGTCCAGCTCTTGCAGCTGCGTCAGGCGGCCCAGGAGCTTGGGGTCCAAGTGCTCTGAGAGCAGCTTCAGCCCTGACAGGCTGGGGTGGAGGCAGACCGGGAAGTCTCAGGGGGCAGGCAGGCCTCCCACCCCACACCAGTCTGCCTCGGAAGGCTTTTTCACCCGACATTTCTTTTGCATGCACAGCTTCCCCTGCTTTTAAAAAATTCTTGTAACTACTTTTGAACTCGGGGCAACGTGGCCCCCTCAGGATGCTTTTCCTGATCCTCTGGAGGCTCCTCTATGCTTCCCAGGCCCCCTAACTATCTCAACAGGTTGCCCAATCCTCCTTCTGCAAGACTGTCCCCCTAGCAGCCCCGGCCCTCTTCAGGGGTAAGGCCCCACCCGGCGCATCTCATAACAGAAGACGTTTGGCGCGAGCGATGACAGATTCCGCCGAACTGAGAGGGCGAGAACAGGGACAGGCGAGGAGTGGGGAAGGGTCCCAGCCTTTTTCTCGACCGCCCGGCGACCCGGGCCGGGGTGGCAGGCTGTGGGGCCCCGGCCCCG